TTCGTATTCGACGTATTTTTTTTCTTTGAATATTTTTTCCGAGAATTATTTCACATTGCAAAGGAAGTGAATAGAGATATGTACACCAAATATCCCAAGAACTGTTGACTGAAAATATAGGGAAAAAAACTTTTACTAATCGATGTGTACATTGTCTAGTGAAATAATGTAAAAGATTTCATTTGTATGTAAAAAAATTGTACAGTCAAATAAACTGATCTTTTTAATATGATTCTTTATTTGTTGTGACATGTGTATTTTTAATTTTTGTAAATATATTCAATCATACACTAGCTGATAATGACTGATTAACTTACATGACATATAATGTACTAAATTCTTAATTAACAATTTTTATTCTATTCAAATAAGATATCAAGTTTTTTTTAAATAAAATAGGTAACTTAAGGATTGTTTAGAAATGATTTGTTATCGAAGAAAAAATTGTTCTTACCATCCATTTCTTGTTTAACAAAATCCAATAATGTTTGTGTATAAGACACAATCCATGTATCCATAACATTTGTATTTGATGACATTGATGAATATAAACGTTTTTCATCATAAATAAAATTAACTTTTTTATCAATTTTTAATTGATCACATGATTGAATAAGAAGACGTAATGCATTATACCAAGGTAAAAATACATCTTTAAGAATATCTCGAACACCTTCTTCTTTAAATTTAAGGGATTCACCACGTACAACCGGTGATGTTATTAAATAAAGTCTATACAAAAAAAATTACAAGAACATATTAAGTTTCTATAAATGAAAAAAATTTAACCTAAGTGCATCAGCACCATATTCATCAAAAATTTTAGTTGGATCAGGATAATTTTTTTTTCTTTTTGACATTTTTTCTCCATTACTTGCTAAAACAATTCCGTTAACAATTAAATTTTTAAATGGTGGTTGATCAAATAAAGCCGTTGAAATAACTAATAATGTATAAAACCATCCACGTGTTTGATCAATACCTTCAGCAATAAAATCAGCTGGAAATGTATCCGTAAATGTACGACGTGTATCAAATGGATAGTGAACTTGTGCATAAGGCATTGAACCAGATTCAAACCAACAATCAAATACTTCAGGTATTCGACGTAATAAACCTTTACCTAATCGTGATGGAATTGTTATTTCATCAACACTAAAATAACAAAAACAAAACAATTATTATAATATTAATAAATAAAAACAAAACGAAAAAATAATTTTATTTTACACTTCACGATGAAGATCATCAACAGAAACTCCAGATAATTGTTTTAATTCTTCAATTGAACCAACACAAACAATTTCATGTCCATCATCACTAACCCATAATGGAATTGGATTTCCCCAATAACGATTTCGTGAAATAGCCCAATCACGTGCATCACGAAGCCAATTAGCAAAACGCTTTTCTTTAACAAAGTCAGGTACCCTAAAAGAGATATTTTAAATAAATGAAAATTTCTTTTTCTTTTTTTACCAATATGTTTTGCTATTATTCGCTAATAATCGACTAACCATTCCTTCAACACGAATAAACCAAGATGGAACGGCACGATAAATTAATGGTGTATCACTTCTCCAACAAAATGGATACGAGTGTTTCATAACTGATTGATGAACAAGTCTTTTAGCTTCTTTTAAATATTTTATAATAGCTTTATCAGCATGTTTTACATCTTGTCCATGAAAATCTTTAACTTCATCAGTAAATCGACATTGAGCATCAATTGGACAAATAACAGGTCCTGTATCTTTATTAATAACACCATTTGCAAGACAAACACGATAATCATCTTCTCCAAAATATGGAGCTTGATGAACAACACCTGTACCACTATCTTCTGTTACATAATCATCACATAATACATGAAATGCTGTTTTGACCTATTTTATTAAAAAATTTAAAAAAAATGTTATTAGAAAAAAAAAGAAATCTTACATCAGCAAAATAAGGAAATAATGGTGTATAATGCATTCCTTTCAAATGAGATCCTTTGAAACTATAAAAAATCAAATTTATAATTAAAAAAAAACAGCTATAGATTTTCATTTAACTCACCTTTCTAATACTTGATAACTATCAGGTTTTTTATAAAGTTCAGATACTCGTTTCTCCATTAAAATAAAAACCTCGTTCTTTGTTTTATCTAAATAACAAAAAAAAAATCTTAATTTTGTTAAAAATTTTCTCATATGAACAAACCAAGAATTTTGACATAAGTTGAATTTGAATTAACACAAAGTGCAAGATTTGATGGTAATGTCCATGGCGTTGTTGTCCAAGCAACAAGTTTAACTGTCGGATCGTCAACAAGTGGAAATGATACCCAAACAGCTGGATCATCAACATCTTTATAATTTTGACCAGCTTCAAAATTTGATAGTGGAGTACAACAACCCATTGAATAAGGCATTACCTTAAGAAAATATTTTTATTTTTTAAATATTAAAGAATTTCTTTATTCATACTTTAAAGCCTCGATAAACAAAACCTTTTTCGTACAATTGCTTAAAAATAAACCAAACTGATTCCATAAACCATGGATACATTGTTTTATAATCACGTCGAAAATCAATCCATCGACCCATACGATCAACAATATCCTGTTTTTTTTTGTCAATTATTTTAATTTTATATAAAAATAAATAAAAATACATACTTCCCATTCTTGAGCATATCGCATAACAATTTGTCGGCAATGATTATTATAAGTAGCAATACCCATTTTCGCTACATCTTCAGGACCTTTAATATCAAGTGTTTTATCGATTTCATATTCCTAATTAAACCAAAAAGAAAAGAAGATAATTTTAAAACAAAGACGAGAACAACGAAAAGAATAAATCATACCACTGGTAAACCATGACAATCTAAGAAAAACAAGAATTTTATTGATTAGATAAAAATCAGAAGTAGGAAGTAAATCTTACCCCAACCAAATCGACGTTCAACATGATGTCCCGTTTGATAAGCCCATCGAGTAACCGTATCTTTAATAGTTCCAGCTAAGATATGTCCGTAATGTGGAAGACCAGTAGCAAATGGTGGACCGTCATAAAATGTATATCTTTAACAATTCATTTAATTAGTTATTTATTTTACAATGTTTTGTTCTTCATTCTTACTTTGGTCGATCTTTTGATAACTTATTACTTGTTTCGAATGCATTTATTTGCTTCCAATAAGCTAAAATATTTTTTTCATTATTTCCGAATTGAAGCGTTTCACCAGTTACAGAAAAATCGATTTTAGCAGTAGCCATTGCAGTTGTTTCTGTATTCGTAGCCATCTAATAAATAAAAGAAAAATAATTTGTTTTGCCGAACGCTTATAACGTGATTTTTTAAATGAAAAGGTAGGAGATGATGTATTGTTTGGAAATCCTCCCTGAAATTTTAATACGGCTGATGCAATTTGTTAACCATTAAAAAACTTCTATGCTTCCTCCACATGATTGAAATCAATTGGTAATTACTGCCATCTAGTCAATAGTGATTCTGATCAGAAACTAATGAATGCACATCTGTTTCTTTTTCTGGTTATGTCATCAAATACTTTTGTTCAAATTAAATTATCCTATTTGATATAACAAATTATTTAAATAGAAAACAGCTTCGTCTATTTGATGCATATGAAAAGTTGTGTATGTATTTGGCTATTATCTTTCAAAAAATACATTTCAAAATATTTTTCTTTACTTATACGAGTCATGACAAAATCTTATAGATTTCATATCTCATAGAGAGATATTAATAGGATATTTGAATATAATATCAATTTATTTCAATATTCGATTTCGAAGTTTGATAAATCGTCATAGACAATGTGCTTTAGAAACTTGCAGAGTCATGCTTTTTTAACTCCAATTCCGAAAAACTCTGACAAGTTCTTTCCTGTAAATTAGCGGTAGTTTACGTACTCGACGATATTATGTGATTTAATGTCGCGTATATATGATGAAAATACATCTAATGACGAAAGTGAAGATATTGCATTGTGCTGATCATTTTTTTTTCGCAATAATCACTTGTAAAAGTTAATTCAGTATGCATATTTTCTCTTGTTTTTTATTCTATTTCATTTTATTTGGTTATTGGATTGACGATTTTATTTTACTGGACGTTACAATTGTCAAAAATAAATGCTACATAAGAAAAATATGAAATAAAGTTTTCGGGTTTCAATGTCGAACTCTAATGTGATTTTGATTCTGATTCCATGGGGATCGAGACTAAGACTAAAAATATGTTTTTTGTTTCAGTCCAAACTAGAATAATTGCCTCTGTTTATGTTTAACTAGAGTGTTCAACAAGGAGTCGGGTAACAATTGATTGAATGGGTAGTAGCATAACAGCAAGATATGTTAAATAAATAGATAGTAGAATAGAAGAATTTTGAAACTCTACGTGAACACAATTTTAATTAAGTGTTATACTAGAATCGAGTTCGTTTTTTATAACGACCAAAAACAGTTAGTCCTGCTAATGCTTACCTGTAGCAAATGATTGGCCATTCTGTTGGTCATAACAAACTTTCCATTGTACTTATCTTTCAAAATAAAATCAAAGCTGTTTGTTTGCTTTAAATGCACAAATAAGTTGTTTCTTTGTTTCTTATTTTTATTGAAATATTTTTGTTTGTTTAAATATTCTTTGTGATAACTTTTTTTATTCCTCAAAGAAAATATTTCTCGTTTAAGCATATGTAATGTTATTCAGAATAAATAAAAACTTATATAAAGCTGCAAATTTTATTAAATCTTATCGTGAATATAACAACATTTTTTTTTTGATATTGTTGTACAATTTAAAGAATATAGTCAAGTACACAAATGAAAAATAAAAATGAGAAAATAGAAAATATTCATCATTTTTTTCATTCAAAACTTCTCTTTCTTATTGTTTGATTTTACTCGTTTTCATCAGAAAAAAAACATAAGAATAAATTGACTGAAGACAAATACATACAGTAGAAAAATTCAAAACAAAACATATCAATTATTTAATATCTTCTTTAAATATAATAATTGATGATTGTTCATCTTCGGCTAGATTCAATGGTGATTGAATAAAATAATTTGACGATTCAGATGGAAGTGATGATACTTGTTGTGTTTTAAAAATAATTTTATCACTATCTGATAGTGTCATATAACTACTTGGACGAGGAACTAACGGTATCACAACATGATTTGTCACCGGACTGAAATAAGATAAGTTTTTATTTTTATTTATTTATTGATGATAGTTTAATATACTTACCAGAGTTTATTTAGTGGAATGATACTATTAGGAAAATTAAGTTTAGAACCTGGTGGAGATACAACAACAAGAAAATCTTTGTTTTTCTTTGTTTTCTTTTTACTATTTGATTTTGTTGCTCGTTTCTTTTTCTTTTTCGGTTCCCAATCATCTTCTTCATCATTATCAAAATCGTTCAGATATTCTTGATCCTCATTTGATATACAATGATGAACTTTATTTGAACTAATTAATGTCATCGAACTTGACGTTGAATCTAAAAGAAACAATATTCAAACTAGAAATTATTCATTAGCAAAAAAAATTTAATTATATAAGTTAAACTAAAGAAAACAAACGATTCTCAACAGTTTGTTCTAAATGAAAAAAAACAGTCGATTTTACTGTTATATTTTCATTTAGAATTCTTTCAAAACCGAATCAATTTGATTCTTAATACTAGACATTCGATTCTATTGGATGTAGCACAATAAGTGAGCCTCTCAATATTTTCTTAATATGTCTGCCATTTCCTATCGCTTCGAGCTAAATTTTTTCCAAAGTATGCAGTACGAAAACGTCTAAAAATCTATGGGAAACTGCTTGTTTGAAATACTAAAGTAAAAAGATCGACTCGGCAAGTACGGTAACGATAGACTTCTAACAACTTTCAAGCATAAAGTTGAGTCTTTTCATTTTTTTTGTGTTCTGATATTGACAAAAGATTCATTGCCCATTCTGTAGAACCTGAACAAGTCTATTTCATAGTTATGCTTAATAACTCTCCCAACAAATGTTTTCTATACAAAATGTGCATTCCTTCTTTTTCAGATTTAAGAATAAATCATGTCTTTGTGTTCGCAAACAGATAATTTATTCGAGATAAAAGTTACTTGTGTGATGCGCATTGTTCAGTTTATAGGTTAATGATTGAGTATGGAAAAGTTTAGCTTTGCTCTTGATGTGGTTAAAACCATAAGAGAAAAATCGGGTTAATGTGGGCCTTCGTTTTTAGATAAAAGACTTCTGTTTAACAGTTGTTTAAGTGATCTTATCATTTGTGTATGACATTGGTTCGAGCACTTTTCATGGTGCTTGAAATATAATATTTTGCAGCATTGTAGCAATTGTTTATTAACCGAAAGACACAAAATATAATGTTACGAATTCATGATTGAAATTCGTTCGCAATACAGAGTCACAAGAATTGACGAGCAAATTTATGTGCTTCTATCTTTTTTATATATGGTTTCCTCTGATGCTATAGACAACTTTGTGCTGCGTCTTTCAGGAAACAGTTCAGTTCAAAACGATAAGAAATGACAGACATATTGAGCAAATATTGTGAGATTCATCTATTACACTGCATTTGTTATCTTGTTTCTTTTTACATATTTCATTAAAGATTAGTAAAATATGTTAATAAACATTAGTTAGTTACTGTAGAAAGAAAGTAGCAACTCAAAGCACACGGTAAATACTCATTTTATAATGTAACTTCTCAAACTACAGTAGATGATAATATGAGAATGAAAAATGATTTTAATCCATATCAATTTCTTATTTACTTGCTTGTTTTGCAACTAAATATCTTCGAAACGTCTTAGCATTATTTCTGCTTTATTTAGCTGAAAAAACAAAAGCTAATGACGATGATGTGCATCAAAGAAAAGATAATCTATTGAATTTTGCAATTACATTAAACTTCAAAATGAACTGAATAATACATAAATAGTGTTATTCTTATATTTTCATGTAATCAATTTTTTAATTAAATATTCTACCTGTACATGAACTTCCATCTTCTGATATTGAATTGTTCTCTATATCTTTATCAAGATGGTTTCCATCTAATCCATTTTTATCTGTAGCTGTTATTATCATAATTTGATCAACAATTCGACGTTTTGCTCGACGTGATGATTGTCGACCAGCACCTACGCAGAGAAAATTAGCATTTTTATTCAATTATAATATACAAAAAAAAACGAAATAATTTATTCATTTTCTTTTTACTTTTTCTCACCAAGACATTTAGCTAAATGATAAGAAAATTTTGTAGCTATTAAATTTGATTGACCACAGTTGGGACAAGTACAAGTTTGTTTTTCAATTGAAACCGTTTTGTTTCCATTATTATATATTTGAAATTGCTCTTGAGGAATTCCTTTAATTGATGAATGAATCTCATAAACTAAATCAAGTATCATATCATCCACTTCACTATCAATCAATGACTGAATAATTAAAGATAACTCGTCCATAAATATATATCTGTAATAAGAGATTATCTATTATAGTTATCTCAGCTATGTCTCATAAGAAACCATTCTTTCGAATTTCAATTAGATTAAATTAAGTTTAATAAGTTTTTCTTTTGTTGTATCGAATAACAAAATAGAGAGATAGACAAAAACACTGATGATGAAGATAAAGGCTAAATAAACAAATACGTAAAGACATATCCAAAAATGTACAAAACAAAGCGACAATGAGAACAAAAAGAACAATGTACAAATCGTTTCTGTTTTATGCATAACTCGTATTCATTTTATTGATATGGTTGAATTGTATAAACATAATTTGGATTTTCACCCGGTTGATCATTTCGAATACAAGTTACAACACGAACCTTAAATTGCAAAAAAAAGAAACAAATTTAATTAATAAAAATAAATATATCAATCAATCTTACTGAATGTCCATAAGGTTCAAGTCCATTTGGATTAGCAACTGTTACATTTGGTTTCGATGTTAATGTTTGACCAGATAAAGAAGTCGATGTTGTTGTTGTTTGTGGTTGAACTTGTACAGTTGTAGCAACTTGTGCTTGAGACATCGATCCACTTGTTTGATTAGCTTGAGCTTGTGCAACTTGCATACGTAAATCATCTGTTAATTCTCCACCCATTGTTATTGTTCGATCATATTTTGATGCATCACGTACTTTTGTTAAGAATGTTCTTAATGGTTCAACATATGAATCAAAACCAAGTGTTAACATAGCTAACAAAATATCTTCACCATTAATTGTTTTTCGTTTTTCTTGAAGACATCGATCTGATGCTTCACTTGTTATAAATGATATAAATTCCGACACACATCTATTCATTTGAAATTAAATCAAAAATAAAATCAATTAAATTTAAATGATTAACTTACTCTTGAATAGTTTCTTTTGCATCTTTAGCAATTTTTCCTTTTTCAGGAACACCTTTTTTCATAATTTTTGCAACATTAGCAATAGGTAAAAATCTATCTTGTTCACGTAAAGGACCTGTATATCTTGGCAAACCGTCATGTCCACTTCCATCATCATAAGAATTATCCATTAGATGTTGTTGTTGTGATGGTCGACCACGTCCACGATACGTTGATTGCTGATGATGATGACGATGATCATCGTCGTCTTCTTCTTCTTCTTCCTCGACTTCATCATCATCTGAATAAGGTGCATCTTCTTTTGTTGGATGATAGGTATGATCAACATTACCGCCAGTTGGCATTCGATTCATTGCATTATGATGATGAGATGATGGCGGTGGACGAGTACCTTGAGTACGACGACGATGGATTGGACCATCATGTGAATTGCCTGAATCATTATCTGAATCCATCATTAGATTAGATGAAGAACGATTCGAGGGGGAAATCGACCACTGGTCACACGCAGTTTATATTGAGAATGAATGGCGAAATTAATCAACAAATAAAGGCAAAGCTACTTATGGAACATACATCTTGGATTTTGTCCTCACTCAACCAATAATAGACCTCTAGCAAAGCCTCCTTTATACCCGTCATCATTGATTTTAATATTAGAAACTCAAACAGACACGAAACAAAAAAAAAATTCGAAAAATAGTGTATAAAAAAAAGGATGTAAATAAATTAATGCATAAATAGATGTCGCTCGGTGACTTAGAGCTGAATCGTTCAATGAAGTAGAAAACTAATTATTATTCAGGTCTATTAATACCGATAGCTTGAAACGATGTCTTAAACTGCTTAAAATGGTGAAGAAACGACGTGATTACTGCCCTAGAGAATGAAAAACAACCGCCATTTTTCACCATTTTTTAGCTGTTTTTTTTCTCGGAAAGTAAACAACGCAGTTTAAGATCGCTTTCAGCAAGTAACAATGAGTAGTATCATGACCACATTGTCGCCGTATAGTGTTTTATTTACATCGTTTTTCTTCTCGTTTACAACTGTATTTATTTACTGTCTCAGGGCGAGCATTACGACAGTAGTTCATAGTCGCATGCTACACCGTTTGTCATCATATTCCCATAGTCTCTTCTTCTCACCTTCCGTATACACAAGAAAGAAAAATTGTTTATTTAAATAAAATTCTTACTGGTAAATATTTCAATGAGATAAATCTAAATAAAAAAATAAACATATTCATTTCAGCAGAATACTCACTATTGAACTAGGTAGTGGAAACAATCTGAATAAAGGACATTATTAAATTGTTTAATAGGTACTGACAAATCGATTATAGATCATTAGAAGATGTTTAATGATAATTTAAAGACACTTTTGTTTTCACGATGAAAAACCATGTGAACCGACAAAAAAATTGGCGGTCTTAACGACAGTTGCTTTCGCCAGTACGTAAACGATCATTGTAACGGATATCGTTGTTCGTCGTATAGGAATCGTTTATAGCTGTTCACGGGTCGTTCTAAACGACATAGGTACTCGACCCATTATCATTGTATAAGGACTGGCAACGAAATAATAAGCGATTATGTTGCTGTACAAGAAAGATAAATCTAGGAATCAATGTCATCAACTCATTGTATACTTGTCAGAAACATGCAATTTTTTTCGTGTGGTCTTTAAATTCATAATATTATCATAATCATGTTTATTTTCTTCAAGATACGTAAATTTATTATTTCAAGAAAGAAGAAAATTTACGCAGTCTGTCAAAAGATTAGAATATGTTCATCATCAATGGTAATTCAGTACCTGTGTCAACGATCCCCCGAAAATAAATATGAATGTTGAATAGGTATTTAAATAAACCATGTCATTCTCGCAGTTCAAAACCAATATTGGTCTATCTTGTTTCTCGACTGAATGCAAGCATGTAATCGCAGATTAACACATATGTATCAACATTAGTAATGAGACAAAGTTTTCTAAACTTTGTTTTTATAATTTATCTTACTGAGTAATGGAATCGAGCAATAAAGATATTTTCGTTTGAAAATAGACAAACAAACAAAAAATATTCTAGTATTTTTTAAATTGATGATTTTTATATTTAGATATTGCTGAACCAAAATCTCGTTGTCCATACAGAAAAAATCATATTCGGTGTGGTTCATATAATTCAAATAATATTGTCATGCTTCAGTCAATCGAAAACTTAGTAAGTCCAGATGCTCTACCAATACAAGAAACATCAACTGAATCTGATGTTGCACATATGTTGTCATTAATGTTGCAAGTGCAAGTTGAACAAGAACAAGATTCTGTTCATGGTAAAATTTGTTTTAGAATTCACCTATACATACTCATCGATAATTGAGAATTAACTATTTTACAATAGTACTTTGAATTTATTTCATTTTAGTACTTCCACAATGTGATCAATTTCCCGATTCTGACAGTCAAACCATTATTAATGATTTTGTAAAGTAAATTCTTATCGTTATCGTGTCGATTTATATATAATTATGATTTAATTAATGAGGAAATCAAATCATTGCTAATTTAAAATGAAAATGAAATTGAATTGTTTTTTTTTCGAATTTATATTTGACAATGAATATGAATGACCATAAGTTATAGAATTTAAATATCGACTATAAAAAATTTAATTTACTTTAACTATAAATTATTTCGATTCATTTTTAATTAATGAAATTGTAAATTAAGTGATTTGTATTTGTTGATATTTCGTATCAGTGAGGTGAACAAAGACAAAAACGCGTAAAAACAGGTTGAACTTTTAACGAAAAAGAATTCATAAAAAATACACTTGTAAAGATGTCCACAACGCATTGAATTTCGAAATTTCTATATATTTGTTTCGAAATTTCAACACATTATGAATGCATGTACCTATGCACTCTATGAATTCATTTTTGTTAAAGTTTTTACTCATTCCTACAACCACAGGGGCTGCTCTTAATACATCCCAATTTGTTTCCTCCTCAGACATGTACCGTTGAATAAGAATGAGTGTTATCAGGCTTTGAAATACATCCATCGCATGAACCATTACTAATCGTTCCCTATTATGATGTACTACCATGTGCTAGATCAAAAGACCTAGAATTTGAGAATTTGTACCTTTATATAGTGTAAGTGTGAGTGTGGGTCTTCTCTGGAAGCATACGCACATCCGATAAACATTTGCTATTGTGCACTTACAACCTGGAAGTACTGTTCGTGTTAAATTTTTATTCAAATCATCGTATTTATTTTGTAGAGAAAAATAATTTCTAAACTTCCATTTTGAGAAAAAAAAGTACAGTTCTTTTTGTCCTATGATCATCTATCGAGTTTGCATTATTGACGTAATAATTGTGTTGTTCAGACGAAAATTGATTCCAAGAACGCTTTGTAAAAAAATTCAGGTGATCGATTATGATGGCAATGATCGAATCTGTCACAAAGTGCCATGGGTAGATGTTGTAGCTCAATATTTTGATAATACTGAAGAATGAACGCAACAGAACTTTCGCTTTGTAAGATTTTGTGAAGTAAACAATGTGTTGCTTGCGTTGTTTCATTACTTGAATTTAAGTTACCCTAGAATTTTGATTAAAACATCTTTTGTCTAAGATTCAATCAAAGATTAGAGAAAAGAGTAACAAAGAACTGTACCTTTTGGAGTATTAATAAATCATCATTATTAAATGTTAGGTTCGACGTGGTAACTTTACCACATATGATAGTATTTGCAATAAACTGTTTGATGTTTCTATATGATGACGTTGAATTGGCAGATATTATATTTGGTGACTGAATAATTGATGGTTCAGTAGATGTAGTTTCAAAGGTTACTCTAAGAGCGTCAAATTGGATTTATCGAGGTTGAGCAGATTCCAGGATAGATGTGTATAAGTTTTACAAACAATGTTTTCAAAATCACCAAAAAGATTTGCTCTTTTTCTAGTAGCTTGCACAAAACATATGATTAGTTGGTAAGTGTGGTGTATCTGATTTATGATCCACACAAAAACGATTCATAATTGCTAATATTGCTCTTTGGTAAATGTCATCCATTTTGTGCGATAGTTGATCGAACCTTTTATTAAATTTTTGTTCTAAATTTTGGAGTTCATTATCTAATCTATCGAATCTAAATGTAAATTGCGATTTAAATAAACAAACATCGATTTTAGTCCATTAAACACTAAGCAATGAAATGTTAGAGATGAGTAATTCTTAGCGGACAATTATGATTATATAAATTTACTTTGGGTGGGATGTGGGTTTGATAATCGATGTAGGTCTTATCTACACCCATACCCTATAAAGGAAATATTATGTAAATTATTGATGATTACATTCAATCTTATATTTCTCTTCTCCCTTTCCTTGAACGAAAATGACCACTGACTTTGAATAAATAGCCAATCCCTATTCCGCAAGCTACATACAATGATTTATTAACCAGTGTTCAATGACTTTAGATTGTGTTGGAGATTTATTAGGTACTAATGAAAATACATTGGATGTGAAAAAATAGCTGACTAGTATTTCAATAGCTATAGAAGCATTAACTATGTACAAAATTTTGTGGAACTCACATATATTTTCAAAGAAAATAGTGAGGGTACGTTTTAAATCGAGGTTTCGTCGCTCCTCCCCCACCTCCTAGTCCTAGGCTCCCTCCATTAAAGACATATAGCAACGGATTTCCCATTACAGACATTAGTAAACTCTTTCCTCCACCAGGTCCTAGCAACTGTGAAAGAAGGAAGTCAAAAATTTTTGAATATGTTTCCATAGCAACGCGAAATGGCACGTAAGTAATATCAATGCTTAGATCATTCTGAAACTCTGTAAGTTCTAACTGTTTAGTCTAAATAGTGGCATTTTGGGCTTTTCATGCAGCGAAGAAGGACCTTATTGTAGGTTTTAATCAATAGAGTGGTCGTTTTCTTCATTTAATGAAGTCCAATTCGGATGAACATAGAAAAATTTGAACGAATTGAATTGTAATTTCAGGCAAAACTCAGTGGTATATATCAAAACATGTCGAGAAAAACAATAGTGTACGGAATAACATACTGATTGGGCAAAATCAATGTCTATAACAACTATTTAATATAGTAGTTGAATCGACGCAACGAAGAGTAAAATTATATTTCCCACTTTCTGTGGCATGTATCGCAGATATGTTATCATTACGACAAAAGAAGCAATGGGTTGAAGATGTATCTGATAATACAAATAAGTTTTTGGCATTATTACGATATTAAATGAATCAAATAAATTGGTAGAAAATTAATTTTTAAATGTGAACATTTTCGCAATGATAAAATATCAGAATCCATCCATAAGCAATAAAAACTGTAATGATTTTCAATTATTCATTTATTTGACGTTTTTTAAAAATAAATTAGTTTAAAAGCTCTGACGATATATCGAAAATTCATAAGAGCCAGGATTCGCGAGTTCCACACTTTGGCCCCGTGAAAGGACTGCACTGACAAATTTTTTTTTCAGTCTTTTGAATTAAGAAAAATGGTATCTCTTTTAACAGTCAACCGATACTGATTGAACACGACACAATATACAAACAAGGTATTGTGCATAGTACAGATTTCGTGGAAAATCGCGTCCAACCAACGACACAAAAAGCTTAACATCTGTTCTATCAACTGTACCTTCATACCTCATATCTCATATATGTCCTACACCAATAGCTGACTGACTTTCAGAAGAAATCGTGAAAGAATATTCATTAGCATTGTTCGGTTCAGAGATGAGCGAGTGCCAGTGTTTAAGTCCGACGGCAGTGAGCGAAAATCTGAGGCGCATTAATACTAGTTATATTATGCATATCTGCATATGAATCTCATGTTCTTTTTCACTCGCATTCAGCTTCAGTAGCGATGGCTTTGAGATTTAAATATATTTTAGAGGTCAAGCAGAGAGTAAAGCAACAACTATAAATCGCCAACGATTATTGCTAAGATGGTCGTCATTGAGTGACGAATTTTAGAGCAACTACCTTTAAAAATATTGATTTCGTAACCCAGCCCAATGCCAAAGACTAAGACTATATCTCTATGTATTTTTCACATTAAAATAAATTTTCTGAACCAGCACATCCTCAACCAAACCTACAAGAAGTTTGGGTGTGATTATTTCGATTATCTACGTATATTCAAACCATACACACAGTCACACACTCCCAAATAAGGAAGAAATTGGAAATAAAAGAAAAGAATGATACGTACGCATATATGAGAAACAATCCCGTCAAGAAAAAGTCATTGATATATATTAAAAACCAAGACATTGCACTATTGGTTAGAAGCATTTTATTTTTTCTTATGTTTGAGATATTGATGATAATCAAAAGTGAAACAATGAATCTTTTGGTTGATGCAAAGTACAGGTATTTTCAACTTTCTAAACAATTTATGTATCTATATTGAATATCAATTTATGGAGAACTTAAATGCCTCGATGAATAAACACTTATAAAACCTCCGTCATCAAATATGATCCTCTCGAACGTTTGGTTTCAAGCAGCAAAAGTATTAGAAAAAAAATGCTGCTAACACAGCAATGAAGGAAATTCTTCTTTCTAACATATTCATTTGTTGATTGCGTGCTTTTAGAAACTTAAAAAAAAAACAAGTACACTATATTAATAGTTGTAAAGATTTCTCATGATATTCAAAACTAAATGAAATGCTCAAGTTTAATAATAGATTAATTAAAAAACCGATATCAGTAATCACTTGCCACTTTAACTTTATATAATTGTGAAATACTTGTTTTTTTGTTAATTCTGATTTAATATAGTAAAATAAAAGAGACTCTAGTTTATTTTTTGAATAAGGAGCAAAGACAATGTAATTGTGATTTATGTTTTGGAGTGATGACATTTTTTAATTTGCTCGCATAGATTATTGATGACGTTCAGAGATTGTCCTTTTTCATCTAATAAAACATGAAATATAAATATACAGTGAATAGGTTTTTAGTTTAAGAAAAGGGTAACAAAACTATAAAAAAAGAATTCATGTGCATGAATATTATATTTAACTTTGGATGCGAATAAATTCGACATTAATATCAGAAAATAGAAGCGAATATGCAAGTTCTTGCAAATAACAGTTCATCAAATATATTGCATAACTTAGACGGTTTGTCATTTTTATATCGGTCAATAGAACGTTGATTGTTCTATCAAACTACCTAGTTTTCATTTTGTTTTGCACCTTAAGATCTGAAAAATTTCAAAATACATTCCAAAAAGAAAAGGTTTATCATTATAGCAGTTTTCGAAAATAATGGTAAATCACATCCAATAACTGTACAGCGCTGAAGAATAGAAACTTTTTTTTTTTTTTAGAATTTGTTTCTGTATGAAAGGATATCATTTTCATTAGATGAAGAAGGAATGTACCCTTAGGTTATCAAGTAACTCGTTGGGAAAAATTCGCTAT